CGATCCATTGCAACTTCTCAGCGGCTCAACTCGAAGAGCGACTCATCGAGCAATCCATCGAAGGACTAAGCGACAGAGTTGTCGTTCAGAACCTTCTGATGAAAGCCGAGAACGAGGAGAACTTCAAAACTCTCGATTACGTCTCCAACCTGGCCGCTGCGGTGATGATGGTGCAAAACGCTGTCAGCTGTTTGCTCTCCCGACAGACGGCTGTGTTTTGGCTCGCTCTGTCCCGTTGTCCGTTTTTTTTTGGACCTCGGAGCCTCGCTGCCCCTGTTTTCTGTGCTTCACCTATCACCTTCGTTGCCGACCATCCCCCGTGGCCCGCGTGTGTTTTTTTCTACCAATCTCCTCGCTGTTACGTCAAATGGTGCACCAGCTCCCGCCGGGTGAGACTTGCCCAGCCTGCCAGCGCGGATTCCATTGGAATAGCAAGCCTATCTCCTGCACCGATTGCGGATCGAACACCCACCGCACCTGTATCTCCGACCTGTGTCTGAGTGAGCCGTTTGAAACGGGAGGGTTTGGACTTTACATTTTGCTGTGCCTCGTGCTCAGGGCCCCGATCCCACACACCACTCCAAACTGTGACTGTGTCCGGGCTCGAAGACTCTATTTACACAACATCTTCCCTCAGTCGGAGTGCTGCTGCTGATGAGCTCCCTGCGTCCAGCTCACCTTCTCGTTCCCTGATTGATTTCCGGGCCCTCACGCCTGATGACACCTTCGTTGTCTGCCTCAGGTGCTCGAGTGTACTCCTCCGCATTGACAGGGTCGACGGCTGTCCGTGTTGCTACCGTGAGCAGACATTGTTGAACGCTCTGCATGCGTCTGAGCAATAAAAAGCCTGCTCTACGCGAGGGTGACGAACCGACTCGACTGCCATTTGGATAGGGCCTGTCCCCCTGTGGGGCCCCCTCCACCGAGCGCCTCGACTCGTGACGATCTGGGGAGCCGTCTGGATGCTGCTCTGGCTGAAATCGAGACTCTCAGGGCCCGAAATTCCCATCTGCTTCGTCGTCTCGCTGATGCGGGTGTGACTCGGGATGCCGCTGACTGTGGTCTCCGCTCGAATCCTTCGCCTGTTCACGTCCCTAGAGCCGAGCCTGCACCGTTGGAGCCGACTCGTGAGCTTTCGCCAGTGTCCTTGGGCACGGATGTCTCGGGCGCCCCCCGGAGTGCCCCTCGTTCTGGTCCTCGTCGTGCTACTCTGGATGGCTCTTCGTTCCCCATCTCTTACACAAAAGCCACCGGTAGCGCCGGCGTCCCTCTTGCGGCCGTCGGGCGTTCTGGTCCCTCCCGACCCACTACTCATTACAGATCAATCATAATCTTCGTGTCTAGGCTGGATAGATCCACTACAACCTCGGATGTTTTGGTTCACTGTCTCTCCAGATGCCCTGGGGTCTCATCGGTGGCTAGATTCATCGGTGATGAGCGTAGGGACTTCGCTTCTTTCGCTATCACGATCCCTAGGGAAAGTTCGGATTCACTCTTGGACCCTTCGGTGTGGCCCTCTGGGGCTATCTTCAAAATCTTCCGTGGTCGACTGGACAAGGAGCGCCTCACCGACACCGTCCTCGCAGCGATTCCGGATCTCTCTGCCTCACCAGTCTCCCATGCCCTGCCCGGCTCTCCGTCCCTCGCCTCCGTGTCCTCTTCTCCCCTGGTGGCGGAATGTTCAACTCTACCTCTCAGCTCTTCGCCTGCACCCGATCCGGAGCTCCCCGCGTCTCCCTCCACCGCTGACTGACTCGTATCCCAACCACTCTTCCACATTCTGCACATCAACACCCGTTCCCTTAGATCACTGCACAAATTCGAAATCCTTTCCTCTAGATCAGGGGTGGGCAACTTCGCGCGGCCCGCAGGCCGCAATTTACGGCTCACGAGCCGCAGTGCGGCCCTCTCGGAGGATATAGTTTCTATGGTATTCCTAGCGTAGAATTACCCGCTGCGATGAAGGAAACCATCCTTGAGGCAATGCGAATTCAGTGCGATTTATTGGTTGGCATCTTCCTAACAAGTTCATCGATTGCGGGCTCTTTAGTCGTAGCCACTCGCAGAACATTTTCCAGATTAGGGTCCGAGAGTTTCGATCTCAGACGAGATTTGTTCAAGTTCATGAGACTGAAAGTCTGCTCACATATATACATAATATATACTCCCGAATAGAGACATTTGCTTCATAGCAAGATCGACCATGTGGGGAAAAGAGCTACGTTCAAGTGACCTGTAGAACTCGACGATAGAACCCTCTCTGTGGTTGTTTCTCAGCAGAGAGCTGTTCTGAAGCCGGATTAGCTCAAGTTGGAGCAAAGGGTGTACTGTAGTGACATCGACCGCGAAAGGATCAGCAAATAGCTGAAAGTCAGCTTCTGAATCGTAGAAATCCGAAAATCGATTGCTGAACTCTCCCAGGAGCTCCTCAAGATCTCTATTGAATTGAGCGCATTTGAAGCGTTTCATGGAGCATGGTCCTAAGTGACATTTTTGAAAAAAATGAGATGATTGCTCGAATCGAGTCTGTACTGCACTAAGTATCACCCACTTGAAGGATTCTGACGAATTCTTTCAGCATATCGCCCTGCGAAAGCGGTATCCATTCATTGCGAGATTGGATTTTCAAGAAAGAAGTGCCCAAGTCGATCTTGGAGGGCGGGAAGCGGTCTCATTCTGACTTTTCCGCGCTCTTCCAGCGGATCGCGCTGGGCTTACTTCGTTGTTTTGTCCGTTATTCTCCCGCGCAGAGTCTGATTTTTGAAATTGACGATGAGTTTATCTTGTATACGTGTCGTACGCTGCCGCTGCTATTGGAACCGTTGCGTGTTGAGCTCGACTCCGCGTGGTGTTTCTCGATTCAGTGTCCACCATCCTTAATCAGTCTGGTCTCGCTCATCACCGTCAATCAAGCGATTGTCAGTGTCTCCACCACGTTTCCCTGCAGTAATGGCTTCCCACAGCAGAAATGAGCCTTCCAGGGAGGGTCCTCGAGAGCTCGGAAGGTGCCGGTGCGACTGCGATCTTCGCCTTCCGAGGAAAGCCCGAGAGCTTGTCTACGATAAGTATCACTCACTCTCCGCTACGGAGCAGACTACCTTCTTACGAGGCTATGGTAGACCGAGACCAGCGCAAAGACGAAAAGCCACTCAAGGAGCCCGAGCCGAGCGGAGCGTTTACCAGTATGTTGTTGAAGCCAAGGGCATCGAATACGAGATCTGTCGAGGAGCTTTTCTCTCCGTACTGGATATTAACCGCCCCTAGTTGAGGAGGAAGGTTACAGACGCCGACTCTCGAGATGAAACAGCCATCGATAGGAGAGGTCTCCACCTGAATCGACCGCACAGAATCAGTGAGGTGGCGAGGGACGATATCATCGCTTGGGTCGATTCCCTCCCAAGTAGGGAGAGTCACTACTCGAAGTTGACGAAAAAGACAAGGAAGTATCTGAACCCGGAGTTAACTATGGCCAAACTTCACCGTATGTTCTCAGGAAAATTCCCCCGGCACCCCATGTGCTACAATAGTTTCAATAAAGTCGTGAAGGAGAACTGCCGAGTATACTTCGGAGCCAAGAGGAGCGACATCTGCGAAAGGTGTGAGAAGGTCCACCACGAAATCGCGGCAGCGAAGCGGAAGAACGACACAGCGGTGGTCGCTTCTTTGGAAAGAGACAGGGATTCGCATTTAGCAGATGCTCAGTCGTTTTACGATAGTTTGGCGACTCATGCAGGAGCACTCGATCCGCGTAAACTTGTTGTCTGCATGGATTACGAAAAAAATCTTGCTCTCCCCGTCACAAATGCCGGTCCGGAATATTACAAGAGACAGCTCTGGATCTACAACTCCGGCATCCACAACATTCAAACACATGTATGCACATGTATGTGTACAGCGAACACTTCGGGCACAAAGGACCCAACGAAGTGATATCCATGCTGGACCACTTCCTGACGGCGCACAGGTCCCCTGAATGTAAGGAGCTCTACATTTATTGTGATAATTGCTACGCTCAGAATAAAAATCAATTCCTGTTTGTGTATCTAGATAATTTGTGCGCTCGTGGTATTTTCAACGAAATCCTCGTGACATATCCCATACCCGGGCATTCTTACATGCCCGTGGACCGGGATTTCGCTCTGGTGGAGAAGCGGAAGCAGAAGGTCACTAAGATTCCTCGCCCAGAGGATTGGATACAGATAATCCAGGAAGCCCGCATCTCTAAACCATTCAAGGTTCTCAACCTCAACTTTCCGCTATCTTCCACTCTCGAATCAATACCGGATATCGAAGTGGTAAAAAATAAAGATTATAAAACCGCTTGCGGTGATAGAGCAAAGAAGATTCCAATCAGCAGGATCAGGTCGATACGTTTTCGGCGCAATAACTACCCTGAGTCACGAACCTCAGTCGACGGAATGTGGACACCCCTGACCCTCCTGAAGCCTGGGGGAAATCGTCATGCGCGCTTCACGCCGACCGACATCGGGAACGACTTCTTGCCCGTGAAAGCAGCAAAGAAAAATGATATCGACGCGCTCCTACAGTATGTAGATGAGGAAATTCGTGAATCCAACTTCTACAAATCAATCAAACCTGTAGACGACTTCGAGAGTGAAAATGCGGAAGAGCATGAAGCATGAAGCGTTAAGCGCCACTACTTCACGTCTGCTCTGGGCTGTATTTCAAGGCGATAAAACATCAAGTAGAGTTTTGTGGCCGGTTTCGTACTGTATTTCTTCGAATTCCCTCAATAAATTGCTCGTCGGGCGGGCTTTTCACGGAAAAAGTGCTTAAGTCCGATCTCTTACCCTCGATGTTTTCTTGACAAAGATAGCTTGTGGCTGAGATCTGAATATGTGAGCATAGTCGTGATGTTCCAGCGTTCCTCCCAAACGGTACTTCGCAACTTCATCACTATCCGCGTGAGTTACCGCGACGAAGAGATATCGAATCACTACTTCCTCTAGACGATTTTGGGTGCGACTAGGGAGCTTTTTTCACGAGACGCTTCGTTTGTTCTCGATCTCGGTGGGGTCCGTTAGCACCATGCTTGTCCTTGGAAAGTGGACGAGGTTCCCCGTCGTGGGATGGAACATGAATAACTTAAGCTTCCCAACAAAGCATTTCACTTCGAAGTAGAGGTCTGGAGCAAACTTGTTCTTGCCTTGCAAATTCAGGTTGAGTTCGTTCATGTGAGACATGATGTCTGTTAGGAAAGCGATGTCCTGCCAGAACTCAGGATTCGCAATTTCATTCGCAAAACTTCCGTTCTCTCGCGCAAAACTCAGAATCTCGGATCGCAGCGTGAAGAAGCGATCGAGCATTCTTCCCCGGCTCAACCACCGAACTTCTGCGTGGTAGAGTACGTCTCCGAACTCAGCCTCAACATCCTGCAGGAAAGCGCGGAACGCACGATGAGTCAATGCACGCGAGCGTATCGAATTCACTGTTCCGGTGACCACCGACAAAACTGGCTTGCACTTGAAGACCCTCGCGCAAAGTGCTTCCTGATGTACGATACAATGGTACTTCAAGAACGTCGCATTCATCTTCTTCTCGAGGAGGACAACTGCTCCGTTGCGGCGGCCAATCATGGCAGGTGCCCCGTCAGTACAACAACCGGGTATCTTGTTCAACGGGAGTTCGTGCTTGGCCAGCACCTTGAATACTTCCTCACAGATATCGCGACCGGTTGTGGTCCCCATCATGGGGCACAGGGCCGCTAATTCCTCGTGAATTTCCATTTGCGAGTCTACGGCGCGGATGAATATCAATAGTTGAGCCGTATCTACGGCGTCGGTACTTTCATCCATGGCTATCGACCACCATTCGAGAAGAATTTTGCTCTTCTTGCAAGCTGCTCTTCGACATTCGCTGTGATGTCTCCGATTCGTCTCGTAATTGTCCTCCTTGAGAGCGGCATCGGCACCTCAGCGAATTTCGCGAAAGATTCTGGGCACACTTCTTTAGCTATGATTGAGGTACATTCTTTCACGAAATCTCCGTCCCCGAAGGCGTGTCCTGTAGATGCTATCTTTTGCGCCACGAAGAAGCTTGCCCGAGTCGCACCCTTCTCACGATCTATCTCCGAGGAAACTCGCTGCTCGACAGATAGCGAGGCCATCAATTCCTGGACTCGTAGTAACCTTTCCGTAGCTGATAGGAGTTCTTCATCCGGGTGCATCGATTCCTGGTGCCGCCTTAAGTTATACTCCTTGAAGACGGAGAGTGATTTCCTGCACACTAGACAGCACGGACGGCCATCGATTTCCACGAAGAAGTACTTCACTGTCCATTCCTTATTAAACTTCCTATTTTCATCGGCAATCGTTCTCCGAGACGCCATCGTGACTCCAAGCACAACCGTGATGCTTGAATACTCGAAACTCGAAACGACACGAGGCCGACAGCGTTTCTGACCCAAATGCGAAGGGATCCTAGCAGGGCATTCTCTGTGCGCCAACATAGTCACATCGCATGAATGCGACAAGAAGTCTCCGAGGAGGGACTTGACACATCATCGCTTTGAGACGCCTGATAGACACTCCCGAGTCGTCGTTCATTCCGGCCCTAGCAACAGAAATCAACTCGATAGAGTTTTTGGAGAATATCATCCAAGTGTATCGGAGAGGAGGCCGGGCCAAACGCGGCCCGCGGGCCGCATCCAGCGCGTCGATGGATCATCCAGTAGCTAATTAATTATTCGAAAAACGCGAATTCCGGAAGGGGCCGCTTGCGGCTCG